TTTTTTCAGGACGGCATCCCCGGAAGTCCCGACCCTTTCCCCAGGGTGGGCTTTTCGTCCTGAGTCGTTGTTTGACGCTCTGGGGGGCCGGCGAGGGCCCCCAAGGGGTCGAAAGCAGGGAAAAACTTGCCGTCCCGAGTTTTCCACGACGCGAGCATGTCTGGGCCAGCATGTGCGTGTTGCGAGGCGTCTGTAGTACAGCCCAGATGCCTGCAACACTGCGGTCGGCGCAGCAAGGCGTGGGCCACGATCTGGCGCACCGGAGCGCGTGGCCCGTGCGGGACAAACATCAGGAGAGGAAAAAGAAACACAGACACTGAATCGTCGATTCCCACGAAAACATGGGACACTATGGGAAGTGTGGGGAAGGCAAAAACCCAGAAGATATAGGAAAGGATGGGGGAATCCTGTTATTGGTGTGTGTATTTGTTTGCGTGCGTCCCTGGGCCCCTTCAAAAAAGCTGATCCGAATTTATCGTCGAGTCGCGTCCGCAGTCGTTGCGGATTGGATGGATCATCGCCTGTTTTTTCGAACGTCCATTCCTCCTTAAGGAGGAGGGGGGAGGAGTCCAGGAGGGACGAGGACCATTCACTTATCACTCCTCCTCCTCCTCCTGAATCCTCCCCCTCCTCCTCCTCCTCCCCCTCCTCCTCCTCCTCCTCCTCCTCCCCCTCCTCCTCCTCCTCCTCCTCCTCCCCCTCCTCCCCCTCCTCCTCTTCCTCCTCCTCCTCCTCCTCCTCCGCCTCCTCCTCCTCCTCTTCCTCTCCCTCCTCCCACTCGAAAGAGAAGGACAGACCGGCGTGTGGAACACGACGAGGAGCGAGAGCGTCAGAGGGTGCCCCCCTCTCCGCCCCCCCTGTGGCCATCCAGGGCCCAGGCCGTGGCGCGATCGTCGCCGGGCGCTTCCCGCGCCGGAGCTGGCGCCGATGGCAAAAAAGCTCGGCGTCCGCCCCGGAGGCCTGGAACTCGCCTGGGGCCCCATGAGGGAGTTTCAGCCGGGGGTGGACAGACCTCCTACCCTGACACGTCGATTAGTGAATTGGCCGTTTTCGGTTCGCGAGGGGGCGTCGCGGCCGTCACTGTTGCGGGTCCAGGTCCGTCGGTGTGGGTCCCAGGCCGTTTTCACTAAGGGGAGGTTTGCTAAAGGGAGGTTTGTCCACCGCCGATAGAACTCGCCTGGGGCCCCATGAGAGAGTTTCAAGGGGCCTCCCGAGGCTGCGAGAAAAAGGGAGCCGAGAAGATGCCCGAAGGCCACCCGAAGGACCTCCCCTGAGGTCCGACGCCGCAGAACAAATATACAGCGTCGCCAAGCATCACGACCACAGCCCCGGCCCCAGTCTTTCTGCATTATTCTTTGAAACGGGTCAATCTGCGAGGGCCCCGGGGCCCGAAATTGGGCGACAGCTCACAGTGCGAAAAGACTGCAACGCCCGGATCCGATGGGCCCCTCCGCGGCACCTCGAGGGGCGAGGGCTCAGCCCTGCCGCGGGCGGCGCCAGGCGCCCTCCCCCGGGCGGCACCCAGGCGCCTCGGGCCCTGCGCGCCGACGAGGCGCGCGCCGCCCGCAGCGGCGGCCGGCCCCTCTGGCGGCGCAACGGGCAGGCCAGAGAAGAGGCGGGCCCGTCAGCGGGCCGCCCTGTCGGGGGGGCGCGACGGTGCGGGGGCTCCAGCGGCCCGCCCTCAGATCTGGTCGTTGCGGCTTTTCAACGCCGGGCGCTGACGCGCGAGGTTTGAGCTCTGGGACCCGCACGGATCGATCCGGCACGAAACATGGCGCAGGCAGATGGGGTCCGGGGCTCCGGTCGGGATTTTTCACGACGCTGCAATTCTTGTTTGCTACGCCACGTCGGCTCTCAGGGCACTGGCCTGGTTGCCAGGGGTGCTGCCGACCAGTCTTAAGTCGGACATGTTCCTCTACAGGAGGAAAATTCAAAAACTGTTTGTTTGTTTATATATCATAAACAAAACCAGGGAGCAATGTTTTGACTATGTTTGATCATGTTTGAATATTTGTTGACATGCTTCAGCTTTTCTTCCTGAATCTGCCTGTAGGAGGACATGCTCGACCTAAGACCAGTCCGTGCCAGCCGCGCGGCCCAGCCCGCGCGGCCCAGCCCGCGCGGGCCGCCCCCGAGGAGGTGGCCGCCCAGGCCCGCGGGCCAGCCGGCGGCAGGGCATCGGCTCCCTCTCGGGGGCCTCGAGACGAGAGCCAGTGCAAACCCAGAGGTACAACGCAGTGGAAAAATCAAGACGGAGGTTTTTCGCACATTTCGGCCCCTAGGGGCCCTCGCCGGGCATCGGGACCGTCAAGAAACGACGCAGGATGAAAAACCGGTGCTGGGGAATGTGTCGAAATTTACGGGGACCGCGCATTGAAAAAATCACGACATCGGATCTCTGGGAACGGGGGTCAGTGAGTCAGTCAGAGCGCCAGGTCTTGCAGGATCCTGCAGGGCCAGGGTCGCATTTGAACCGGGCTTGGGCGCAGGATCCTGCAGGAGCCTGCAAAGCCCGACTGGCCCGGGTCTGGGCTGGCCCGGGCCAGTAGATTCCCGACCCTCGTGCAACGGGCCCCAGCGACGGCGGTCGCCCTCGTGCCTCCAGCTCGCACGGTGGGCGAGGGCATCGCCTGCTGCGGCCCGCCGTCCCCTTCCCGCCTGGGCCGCCAGCAAGCGCATCAGGTAAGGCACCGGCCCGCCAGCAAGGGCCCCGCGGAGGCGACCCCGGGTGCACACCGGCGTTCTGGGGGCCATGGGCGGCCAGACGGTGTGCCACTGGCTTCCGTGCAGCAGGAGCTCTTGACGCATGTATAGTACGCTGCAGCGGTGCTCGAAGTGGCGCAGCACGAGCCGCACGTGGCCCTGTCCACGCTTCTTCGGGTCTTGGAGGCGAAGCTGGCGGTCACTGCGCCAGTGGAGTGTGAGGGCTCCACGGCGCGGCCGCCGGAAGCAGGGCGGAGCTCACGGAGAGGGCCGCCGCGTGCGAGGCCGGCCAGAGCCACAGCGCGGGCCGCGGGAAGCGAACCGCCGGCGCGAAGGGGCGCGCTGGGTGGCGCGCCTGGCCGCGTGTTAGCGGGACGAGGTCGCGCCCGCCGCCCAGGCCAAGAGCAGGGCACTGCGGGCGCGGACCCGCGGCCGCGAGGAGCGCACCGCCGGGCGGGCCGCGGTGGCGGCGCGGCCAGCGCCCCGCGCGGCCGGCTCGAGGGCTGTCGGCCCAGCGGCGCGGCCGCGTCCTCCCGCTCGGGCAAGGCCAGGGGCGTGCCCGACCGAGGGCCGCACAGCGCAGCGCCCAGGACTGCTCCAACGCGGCTGTCATCCTGTCGATCGAGCAGCAGGCGGCGGGGCCCGGGCGGGCAAGGCCAGGGGCATGGTCAAGGGCCGAGGGCCAAAACAGCTGGGGGGGCCGCACTAAGGGCGACGAGGGCTGGTTGGAGTGGCTGGGCCGGGAGTCCTGAGCGGCGCCTCGGAGGTTGCCCGCTTGGGCTGGGCAGGCATCTCGGACCCGGGCCCCGCTGACGGGGAGGCGCGCGGCAGCGTGACGGGGTCGGGCGCGTAAGCAGTACGAGGGGCACCGCGTCGCTGCCCCCACGCTCGCGCGCGCAGAGCGCACCCGGAAGGCCGCGATTGAGGACGGCAGCGGCGAGGACTTGAGGGCGTTGCTCCGTGGTGTGCTCTCCCGGTCCAAGCCAGGGCGGGCTTGGGCCCACGTCAAGACGCTCGCAGGGGAATGAGTCACTCCAGGTCGCATGCCCGTTCTAGACCAGCGTCCCTGCACATTAGGGCGCGAGGGCGGTGTCGGTAGGTGGCCTCACTACTTGGCCTGTCCACGTCTCCTCCACCTCCTCGCCCCTCCAAGGCTCTTCCTACCCTCTTACCCTCTGGCTCGTCCCGGCCTCGGCCCCGATGCCGACTATGATCCGCAGGTCACCCGGGAGACCACTCACCGCCTAGCCATGTCAAGTTTTCACCTCTACCATCAGCTCACAGCAAAGCACGAGGCCTCGCCCTCCCGTTGTGGCGACTCTGAGGCCCACCCGAGGCTCTTGCGTGCTACGACGCTGGCCATCCGCGCCAGTCGTTCACGTAACCACACCTGGATGAATTACGTGCACTCCCCCCCTTCGGGCATGCCTGCCAGCGTGGGCGGCACGATCGATGGAGCCGCCCGTACGCCGCCTGCCTGCCTGCCTGGCCGCCCGCCTGCCGGCGCGGGCGCCTCGCTCGCGTCCGCGCGGGCTGCGCTGGCCGCCCGCCTGCCAGCGTGGGCAGCCCGACGGATGGAGCCGCCGGGCAGGGCACCTGCCTGCGCGGGGCGAGCAGGGCACCTGCCGCTCCGCTCGCCGCGTCGGGGCGGCTGGCTTCTGAGCGGGGCCCCGCCGTGGGCCTGGCCCCCCGCGGGCCCTCCTCTCGCCGGGCGACCGTCGGGCACCTGCGCCCTTGGCCCGCCTCGCGGCCCTGGGATCGCCGTGCGGCTGTGGCTTCGTCATCGCCAGCGTCGCCGTCGCCGCCCCGTCCGCGCCGTCGTCATCCTCGTCGCCGCGGGCGTGCGACGCCACAGCAGGCCGAGCCAGCACCCTCGTCCTCATCATGCCGCGGAAGTGCACGTCGGGCGAGCCGGAAGCAGGTTATGTCTTCCTCGGCGCGTGGGGCCGACGGATCAGATGCTCTTGCGCATCAAGCGAAACAACAAGCAGCATCGCCATCCGACTCATCCTCATCCCCCCCCACTCCTCCGCCTCATCATCCATCTCGGCTTTCCCCCTGACCTCGCGGATCGTTCTCCTCGCCCTTCTCCGTAATGATATTGGCTCACGTGCGACAGGATATCACTTTTTATCTAAGTCCGAGGCAAGCCTCCCGTTGCTGCTATCACTTGAAGGCATGGCGCAGCGTCTCTCCACTCTGTTCGTTGTCGTGCTCGGTGCCACCGAGCCTACGCGCGCCAGGGCAACCCATGCGGCACTGCCAGCGGACCTGACGGCGGCGTACGACGCGTTCCGTCTCCAATATAGGGCTGGCGAGGATCCCAGCAAGGACCACGTCGACTACGCCACTCGCGCCTCGCTCTTCCAAACGCGGAGCCAGGAGGCTGTTGCCCACAATGCTCGACCAGGCGTGTTCTGGAAGAAGGTGGTCAACCAGTTCTCCGACCACACCGACGCCGAGCTCCGCGGCATGCTGGGCCTCAAGCGCAGGGGGCACCTGAGGGCGCCCGTCGGCGGCACCGGCTCCTTCCTGGAGGTGAAGCCGTCCAAGAAGGCCTGGAGCAATGTGTCCGTGGACTGGCGAGGCAGGCTCAACAGCTCCCAGAACTTCCTGCGCAACCAGGGCGGGTGCGGCAGGCCGCCCTCTTTTTTTTTGGATGGGAAGACAGCTCGCCGTTTGGGCCTCACCACCGGCCGCAGCGGCGAGCGCAAATCGGGCGTGGCGCCGCAGAAATTGGAAGGTCCAGCCAGTCTGGGCCCCGTCGGTTTGCTCCTCCTGGGACACGGTGTCATCGTGGTCGTCGTCAAAATCATCCCCCGCTCCGTCTCTCTCGTTCCCAGTCCTGCCTTGCTGCCCCTCCTCCTGTCCCCCTCCACGTCTGCCAGCCGCCGCTCATCCGGCGCTTCCCTCCTTCCCACCGTCTGTTCTCAGCCCCCCGCGTTTCGCAGCAGGAAGCCGCTGCCCACCCTGCACTTCCTGTTGTTCCCTGCGCCAGATCTGGGTTGCGCACAGTTCGGCCGAAACTAAACGGCCTGCTCGTAGAGGGTGCGCACTGTGCGACCGAAACGGGCACGGCCTGCTGACGGTTGCGCCACGGGTTGCGCATTGCGCGGTCGATGCTGACATTGTTTGCCCTCGGTTGCGCCACGAGGTGCGCACCGCGCGGCCGGAGCTGCAACGGCTTGCTGGTGGTGGCACCATCGGCTGTGCGCTGGGCGGCCGGCACTACAACGGCCTGCTGCAAGTCAGCAGGCAGTCACTCAGCTCTTTCAGCAAGACCAAATCCTGGCGACACCCGAAAAAGTCGTTTCGCCGATCGACGAATGGCTCCGTCCTCCCTCCGCACCCCACGGACTAGACATGCACAAATTCTGAAATTCTGGCGACCGGTTCAGCAAGATGGAGTCAGCACCAGGCCCCCAGCCAAATTGAAACACAATCCAGGAAATACCACTAGGGATACGATCTCTTGGTGCGCCAGCCAAGAAATTTCGCGTTATCCACCCATTGATCGTTTTCTCTTCCCCCTGATCCGTGTTTTTCGCCCTTGTTTCCGATGTTCAGTCCTAGTTTCGATCTCTCGATTGCTTCGTTTTCTAAAGTGTTTGATTGTTCTTCACCAAGACTATGTGTCTCAACCAGTTTTCCGGTTTCTTCACCGTTGCTTTGTCTCCACAATAATTATGGTTGTTTCGTTCCAGAGATGTTCTTTGAAGGTTTTCCACAGTGCATACTTCATGAAGCCCCCTCCGAAAGCATATCAAATTTCCCGTGGGAGGACGGCGAACAAAAATGTCCCAGCGCAGCAGAAGAAATGCCCTCGGAGGATTTCGTGGAGCGCCCGCGAAGGAAATGTATTGTTTGAACCCCGCAAAAAAAAATCCTAGTTCGACGGTCGCCCTGGAACCCCTCCCCTGATGGACATATGAATCGTCGATGTGCGCAACGGCGCGTCACGTCTTTTGCGAGGCCCCCTGGAGCAATCAGATAACAACTCCAGGCCGCTTGGCGCGCCCCAGGACAAACTGCATGTTTTACGGGCGCAGCCCGTAATTTGATTCTCGCGAGGTAGACACTGACAGACTGAACTGAACCACCAGGCCGTTAGATGGCAGTTTTATTTCCGCGGGTGAGGATATTTCGGGTGGCAGTTTTAAGCCAGCTGGTGAGCATATTTCGGTGGCAGTTTTAAGCCAGCGGGTGAGGATATTTCGGTGGCAGTTTTAAGCGCCAGCGGGTGAGGATGTTTCGGTGGCAGTTTTAAGCCAGCGGGTGAGGATATCTCGGGTGAGGATATTTCGGTGGCAGTTTTACGCCAGCGGGTGAGGATATTTCGGGTGGCAGGTTTAAGCCAGCGGGTGAGGATATCTCGCGTGGCAGTTTTAAGCCAGCGGGTGAAGATATTTCGGATGAGGATATTTCGGGTGGCTGTTTTAAGCCAGCGGGTGAGGATATTTCGGGTGGCAGGTTTAAGCCAGCGGGTGAGGATATCTCGGGTGGCAGTTTTAAGCCAGCGGGTGAGGATATCTCGGGTGGCAGTTTTAAGCCGCGGGTGAGGATATTTCGGGTGGCAGTTTTAAGCCAGCTGGTGAGCATATTTCGGTGGCAGTTTTAAGCCAGCGGGTGAGGATATTTCGGTGGCAGTTTTAAGCGCCAGCGGGTGAGGATGTTTCGGTGGCAGTTTTAAGCCAGCGGGTGAGGATATCTCGGGTGAGGATATTTCGGTGGCAGTTTTACGCCAGCGGGTGAGGATATTTCGGGTGGCAGGTTTAAGCCAGCGGGTGAGAATATCTCGCGTGGCAGTTTTAAGCCAGCGGGTGAAGATATTTCGGATGAGGATGTTTCAGGTGGCTGTTTTAATCCAGCGGGTGAGGATATTTCGGGTGGCAGGTTTAAGCCAGCGGGTGAGGATATCTCGGGTGGCAGTTTTAAGCCAGCGGGTGAGGATATCTCGGGTGGCAGTTTTAAGCCAGCGGGTGAGAATATTTGGGTGGCAGTTTTAAGCCAGCGGGTGGGGATATTTCGGGTGGCAGTTTTAAGCCAGCTGGTGAGCATATTTCGGTGGCAGTTTTAAGCCAGCGGGTGAGGATATTTCGGTGGCAGTTTTAAGCGCCAGCGGGTGAGGATGTTTCGGTGGCAGTTTTAAGCCAGCGGGTGAGGATATCTCGGGTGAGGATATTTCGGTGGCAGTTTTACGCCAGCGGGTGAGGATATTTCGGGTGGCAGGTTTAAGCCAGCGGGTGAGGATATCTCGCGTGGCAGTTTTAAGCCAGCGGGTGAAGATATTTCGGATGAGGATATTTCGGGTGGCAGTTTTAAGCCAGCGGGTGAGGATATTTCGGGTGGCAGGTTTAAGCAAGCGGGTGAGGATATCTCGGGCGGACGAGGCAAGAGGCGGCGGGAGGAGGATTTCATTGAAAATGGACGACGGGGGGGGGGAGATCAGCTCGAGGGCGGAGGACGCGGACGGGATGAGGAGGCGGCAGAAGGGAGGAGGAGGTGGAAGTGGAGGAGTCGAAGGAGGAGGAGGAGGTGGAAGAGGAGGAGAAGGAGGAAGAGGAGGGAGGAACCGAGAAGAGCTCTGTGCTCGGCGCGGGCATCCAGCCGCCACGCGATGCATCATCTGTATGGTCGGCCCAGCCGACGGCTACGCCTCCAGCGAGGTGCTGCGCCCGTATATATGCTCGCCCCTTGGCGTGGGGCTGGCGGGGGGCCAAGGGGCGAGCTGTCCGGTGATTAGGCTATGCCGTGCCCTCGCTGTTTGCAGGCCCTGCGCAACTTGGCACACACTCCTTGCGCAGTCCCCGCCCAGAGACCCTGCAGATGCCTGCGCGGTCCCGCGGCTGATTCGCTCGGATCGCCCAAGCACTGGCCGGATGCTGGTCCGTTTCTGCGAGTTTCGGGAGTGGACAGAACCCCAACTTTGACACGTCGATTCGTGAACTGTCCGTTTTCGGCTCTCGAGAGAGCGCCGCGACCGTCGTTTTCCAGGTCTGCGCCCGCCAGGTGTGGGCCCGAGGTCGTTTCCACGAGACCGCGTTTTGCTAAAGGGGGTTCTGTCCACTTCTGCGCGTTTAGAAGAGGAAAAACACCCAAACATAAACTTGTTGGCGCTCCGCGCGGCTTTCTTGGATCCGCGCCTGGGCCCCCCGGCGGCGCCTCCGGCGCCGCCCCTGGCGCGCTCCGCGCGCCAGGGAGGGGGGTCCAGCGCGGGTCCAAGCACTCCGCGCGGAGCGCCAAAAGTCTATGTTTGCGTGTTTTGTTTCCTTCTTCGAGAGCTGCCACAATCTGGATGCACGGAGCAAGAAAGCGCACCCAGCTGCTGGGCCGTGGCCTCCGTGGGCGCGCTCGAGATGCACGCGGAGCTCGCGCGCGGGGCGACGGAGCGCCTCTCCTTCGAGGAGCTGGTGGACTGCGTGCCGAACCCGAGGCACTGCGGCGGGGACGGCGGCTGCAAGGGCGCCACCGCGGAGCTCGCGTTCCAGTACGTCCAGGAGCACGGGCTCTCCGCCGAAGGCGGCTGCCTCGGAGGAGGAGGAAGGGGGGCCCGTACCTCTGCCCTCTCCTCGTTCTCTTTCCCCCTTGTTGGGCCTCCTGGGCCTCCCTCGTCGCCGCCGCGGGATTCGCCTCGGAGTCCTGGTCAGGACGCACCCCGGGAGAGGTCCGGGGAGTAGCGGTTTCGCTATACCTGTTGGTTTCCCCACATGGGCTCTCCGACGAAGGCAGCTACCGGGGGTACTTGTCCGGGGGCGACGGCAAGTGCCGGGCGTCGCAGGACCGCAGGCAGAAGATCACCAGGGCCACGGGGTGGGACCGCCTGCCGGAGAACAAGCTGGGCAACCTGCTCGAAGCCGTGGCGCACCGGGGGCCCGTCGTGGTCTCGGTCGACGCGAGCGGGTGGAACAGCTACGGGGGAGGCGTGTACCACGGGTGCCCGAGGGACGCCACCGTGAACCACGCGGTGGTGGCGGTGGGCTTCGGCAGCGACGAGGCGTCCGGCATGGACTACTGGCTGATCCGCAACTCGTGGGGCAACTGGGGCGAGAGCGGCTACATCCGCTTGCAGCGCCACGCGAGCGACGAGGGCGATGCCGGGTACTGCGGCACTGACCGCTCCCCGCAGGAGGGCGTCTTCTGCGAGGGCGGCCCCAAGGAGGTCCCGGTGTGCGGCATGTGCGGCGTGCTCTCCGACTCTTCGCTCCCGAAGGGCGTGGTCATCTCGCACCGCCCGGCGCGCTCCCGCGGCGCGGTGGAGGCGGTTCGCTCGTTCGTCCGCCGGGCGTGGCGGAAGTGAGGAGCCCCGGCGGACGTGACCGAGGGGGCGAAGTGCCCGTTCCCCTTTCCGCCTGCCCGCGGGGGTGGCGGAATTGAAATGCGCGGCCTTTGTTCACTTCTATCTCTCATGTCGATCTGCACACTCATCAGTTACAGACGTACGTACATGCATCTAGAATTACGGTGGGGCGTTCATTAAGGAAGATGCCTAGGAGGCTTCAAACCCTGGAGGATTCTTTATCTGATGAGGGCGACTGTGCTGTCCATAGCCAAGACTCAATTGATGTTCTGCAGGCTTCCAGTCCAATGATTCCTCATCTAAGGGTTCCTTACACAATGCCATCACCGTGTAAAAATATATAGAACACCTATATTTATGTATGTGTGTAAACCCGTATATTTGTATGTACGTATGCATGTATGTATGTATGCATGCATGCATGTATGTATGTATGTATGTGGGATCGAATATATGCATGTGTGTAGGTTCGTTTGGTTGTATGTAAGTTATGTGATTGTGTGTACGCATGTATGGCTTATGTTATATGTACGGATTGATGGATGGATACATGCATATTTGTATGCATATAGGTATTGATGGATGTATGGGTGCATGTACGCACGCGTATATATATATATATATATATATGTACGTGCGTCTGTATGTTGGTCTGATCGTATGCATGTGCATGTGTGCGTATGTGTGTATGCATGTATGTATGTATGTATGAATGGATGTATGTATGTATGTGTGTGCTCAGGTATGTGTATATATATGTGCATATGTATACGTATATGTGTATGCATGCATGCACGTATGTATGTATGTATGTATGTATGTATGTATGTATGTATGTGTGTATGTGTGTATGTATGTATGTATGTATGTATGTATGTATGTATGTATGTATGTATGTATGTATGTGTGTGTATGTATGTATGTATGTATGTATGTATGTATGGATGCATGTATGTATGTGTGTGTCTGTATGTATGTATGGATGTACGTGTGTACGTAATGTATGTATGTATGTATGTATGTATGTATGTATGTATGTATGTATGTATGTATGTATGTATGTATGTATGTATGGATGTGTGTGTATGTATGTATGTATGTATGTATGCATGCACGCATGCATGCATGTATGTATGTATGTATGCATGCATGTATGTATGTATGTATGTATGTATGTATGTATGTATGTATGTATGTATGTATGTATGCACACAGACATATATCTGCATACAGGCATGCATCGAAGACGCCTTCTTCGAACCACCGCCACCTAGCTCTTGAAAATGCCTATGTGGCCAAACGCCGTGCTCGAGTCTGGCCAAGCCACTGAGCCGTGCGTTACCCCAGCCGGTGTGAAAACCTCGGGGAAACACTTAGGGGAGGAAGGGAGAAACAGGAATATAAGAATACATGTAGATGCATAGGGAGAGAGAGAGAGAGAGAGAGCAAAGAGAGAGAGAGAGAGAAAAACAAAATGGGAAAGGGAGGAGGACAACGAGGACGAGGACAAGGACGAGGACGGACGAGGAGGATGAGGAGGAACAAGAGGAGGCCTCTTGAAGGCCTCCTGGGGCCCTCTTCGGGCCTCCTGGTGGCTTCCTGGCTGCCTCCTCGGAGCCTCTTGGAGGACTCCTGGGGGCCTGTTGGGGGCCTCCTTGAGCCTCTTCGGGGTCTCTGGGGGCCTCCACGGGCCCTCTTGCAGGGCTCGTTTCGATTCCTCCGGTTCGATTCGTTTCGATTTCGATGGCGTCCGATTCCGATTCGATTCGACTTCGGATTCCGACTTGGATTCCGAATCGTTATTGGAGGCATACTAGCCTGCCGATTTCCGCCGATTCGATTTCTCCCGACTCGTCTGCTGAGTTTCGCCGATCCGACTCTTTTCGATCGCCGATCGGACTTAGCGATTCGATTATGGGCTCTCCTGCTCTTGGCCTTCGGAGGCGGTCTTGAAGGCCTCTCTGGGTCGTCTTGGGGGCCTCTCTTTGGACGCTGTAGGGCCGTCTTGGAGGTTCGTGGGCCGTCTTGTGGCCAGCTTTGGGGCTACTGGAGCCGTCTTGGAGCTATCGTGGACGCATCTGGGGCCGCCTGCAGCTGTCGCAAGCCCGAAAAGGCGAGAACGCGAAAACGATCAGAAAACTGTTTAAATCACTCTGGCGAAGGACCCAGCCGTATGCAGTTTTGAGTACCGCCAGTGTGAGAACCACCATCGGTGGAGCTCCCGACGGAGCCGCACAACGCATAAAGAGAGATGAAGGGGAGTGCCAGAGTGAGGGGGATGGCGGCATGCGGGCGCAGCCACTGTGGCCTTAGGTGGAGCTCCCTATGGGGCCACGAAACGTGTGAGGGGTATGCCAAAATGAGGGGGTGGCGGCAGGCGAGCGCAGCCACAGGAGGCTCAGGTGGAACTCCCGATGGGGCCACGGGGGGGGTTCTGCAAATGACTCCGCTGGGGCCTCTTACAATTCGAGTCGCAAGGCCCCCGGAGTGACGCGGGATTGCCGCCCTGTGGTCTGGCGATGTCGATAAGATGGCGACGACAACGACGACGACGAAGACTACCCCTCATTTGTATCCACCCCTCGATCTGCAATGGTTACAGAGGCGCGAGAGGCCCGCCAATGGAGCCTTAGGTGGAGCTGCCTATGGGGCCACGAAGCGTGTGAGAGGTCTACCACAAGGAGGGGGTGGCGGCAAGCGGCCGCAGCCACTGGGGCCTTAGGTGGAGCTCCCGATGGAGCCACGAAACGTCTGAGGGGTGTGCCAAAATGAGGGGGATGGCGGCATGCGAGCGCAGCCACAGGAGCCTCAGGTGGAGCTCCCTATGAGACCACGAAACGTGTGAGGAGTGTGCGGGGGTGGCGGCATGCGAGCGCAGCCACAGAAGCCTTAGGTGGAGCTCCCGATGGGGCCCCGTCACGTGTGAGTGGTGTACCAAAATGAAGAGGGTGGCGGCATGCGGACGCAGCCACTGGGGCCTTAGGTGGAGCTCCGTCTGGGGCCACAAAACGCGTGAGGGGTGTGACAAACTGAGGGGGTGGCGGCATGCGGGCGCAGGGAGGAGGGTGCGGAGGGGGGGAGAAGGGGGAGGAAGAGAGGAGGTGGGAGACGCGGGGCGCTGGCGCTGTCTCTTCAAAACGAAGACCCAACGCCACAGGATGGTTGGAAACAGTCAATGATCCTGGCCTCCTGGAGGTCCTCTTTGGCTCCTCTTGGGACGTTTCGGGGGGCCTCTTGGGGCGTCCGTGGGGCATCCGGGGCCGACTTGAAGTCATATTCGGCCGTCTTGGTGGTCCCTCGGCCTCACCCAAAGCCATCTTCGCTGTCTTGGGGCGGTCTTGGAAGCCATGTTGTGTCACCGCGGCCATCTTAGAGGCGTCCTGTAGCCATCCTGGACGGAAGCGCCCACGGACGCTGTTCTCCGCAGGGGTAGCCTTGGAGATGTTCGCCAAGGCCCCCGAGGCCCCACAGGGAACCTTGTTGGTAACGCACTCGAGCCTATCACATCTGGCACCCCAGCAGAATGACCACTTCGGGCTTGGGTCGGGGGACCTCTTCGTGAACGAGGCCCGCCGTATCCAGGGAAGCCCCTTCGTGCCTTATTTGGCGTTCCTTCTGGCAGCGCCATAACTGTACAGGAGGCGGCGGATGTAGCGGCAGTCGGCCCATCCTGCCACCGCACTTGGGTGCTGGGGTCGCCGTCAAAGGGACATATTATAGGCTCCTTGAGGTCTCCTGGGAGGCCTCTGGGGAGCCTCCTGGAGGCCTCTCGGAGGTCTCTTGGGGGCCTCTTGTGGGCCTGCAGAGGGCCTCTTGGAGGTCCGTTGGCGGTCTCGGGGGCCGACATGGGGAAAGCTCGAGACGTCGGTTCGGCTCCCCGCTCTTGGGCCACTCCTGCGCCGTCTCGGGGTTTTCTAAAGCCCTCACCAGGGCCTCTGGGGCCATTTTGGGGCTCCCTTGGGTTCCTCTCTGGTTGTTCTGCACTCTTAGGGCCGACACGGCGCGAGCTTGCGCAAGGCGTTCAAACACCTAAGATGTTTCAATGAAGTTGGCCTCCTGGACTGGCACCAAGGCTTCAAGACGGGTCAAGGGGCCCTCAAAAGATCCCCAGGACAGTCTTTTGGAGGGTTCGGGCAATATTCGAACATGTTGGAGGTTTAAACCCGCGGCCATACTTCAAGAGCCCAGGGAAAAGTCACACGGGACGTCCTGGGAGCGTTCAAGAGCACCCAAGAGCGTTCAGAATTCGGGGGCCTGGGTTCTTATAAAGAGATGTTGAATGGTGAAATGCAGAGAACCCGAACAACAGTCAGGTCCTTCGACTCAGTGCTTCGCGGTACGGTAACATATATATATATATATAGAGAGAGAGAGAGAGAGAGAGAGAGAGAGATGTAGATGTAGATGTATGCGTGCGTACATCAGTTTGAATACATAGATTGATATGTCCATACAGACACACACGCATAGATGCGTGCATGTGTGTTCGCGTACGTGTATGCATATATGCATCCCCTTTATATGTCTATGGTTCTCGCTGTATATAGATATATGTCTCTCTGTATTTCTCCCGCTCCCTGTCTCACGATAGTATTGTGCTTATTTTGTTATGTAAATATGTATGTATGTATGTATGTACGTCTCTCTCTCTCTCTCTCTCTCTCTCTCTCTATATATATATATATATCTATATATATCGCTCGCTCGCTCTCTCTCTCTCGTTCTACATATAAGCATGCTCCACACATGTATGCGCATACATCTATGTGTATGCGCAGCTCCCTCCCAGCAATATGATTCGCCTGATTGTACTTTCATAATCATTATCCTTCGTGCCCCTTCACCCCTCCTCCTGGTATGCGTCATCGTCCTCGTCCTGTCGTTTCTCTTCCTTCTCTTCCTGCTACCGTGTGTTGTCACAGGGATCGTTGCTACCTCGACTCTCTCTCTCTCTCTCTCTCTCTCTCCTTCTCTCTTTCTCTCCCGCTGTCTCTGTGCAT